TCACATTGAAGGATGTGAAACACGTTCCCTTAATTGGCAAGAACTTAGTCTCTGGAAGCATGCTATGTGATGCACACATGAGGCTGGTTTTCCAAGGAGGAAAGGTTGTATTATCCTTCAAGAAAATGTATTTTGGCGATGCATATCGTACTGATGGCATGTATAAAATTAGTACGAGTGCACCCAACCCCGTTGTAAATAAAGTATCATCTTCTGCTTACTCCTCTGTGTTATGGCACAATAGGCTGGGACATGTAAATTATAGAAAATTATCCAGCATGAAGAAGTTAGGATTACTTCCAAAATGTGGGGGTAACAAACCTGAGAAGTGTGAAGTTTGCGCGCAAGCAAAGCTGACGAGGAAGCTATTTTCAAGTGTCACGAGGAGCACCAACTTGTTGGATCTGATTCATTCAGATACTTATGACTTTAAGAGCTTCATCACTCGTGGCGGCAAAAAGTACTTCATCACCTTCATTGACGATCATTCTCGCTTCTGTCACGTTTACCTGCTGAAATCTAAAGATGAAGCCTTCAGCAAGTTTGTCGAATTTCGGACTCGAGTGGAGAAGCAGCTTGGACTTCAGGTGAAAAGACTCAGGAGCGACAGAGGATGAGAGTACCGATCTAAGGAATCAGAAGCATACTTCAATGAGCATGAAATCATTGCTGAAACTACTGCTCCGTATTCTCCGCAATCTAATGGGATTGCAGAAAGAAAGAATCGTACATTGACCGAGATGGTGAATTCGATGCTGATCACACAATCTAATGGGATTGCAGAAAGAAAGAATCGTACATTGACCGAGATGGTGAATTCGATGCTGATCACATCTGGTCTACCTACCTGCTATTGGGGAGAGGCTTTGCTAATGACAAATTGGATTCTGAACAGAGTACCCTATTCCAAAACTGATATTACTCCTCATCAGTTATGGTTGGGATATCCAGATTCTTTGGATAGTCTCAAAGTATGGGCGTGTCTCGCATACGTTCGAATACCAGATATCAGAAGGCCTAAGCTCGGACCAAAGACAAACAAATGTGTATTTCTTGGCTTTGCTAGAGATAGCAATGCGTGTAGATTCCTGGACCTTAGAACCAACTCCATCATTGAAGCTCGGGATGCAGAATTATTTGAGGATAAGTTTATCAAACATAAAGGTTTATTGCTCAAAGATGTAGCAAAGAATGCTAGTACATCAGATGCACAAGAGGAGCCAGTCAATGATGAAGGAGTTATCGAACCATCTTCCAAGCGCGTCAGAAGACAGAAAGATTTTGGAGATGACTTCATCACCTATAATGTGAAAGGAGATCCACAGACTTTTCAAGAAGCAATACAATCAACAGATGTTCTTCTGTGGAAAGAAACTATAGATGATGAGATGGATTCATTTGTTTTCGCCAAAAGTCGAATTTGTTGTCGAATTCATTATATCTTCGGTCGATTACAATAAATTC